CCCCCCCCCCCCCCCCCCCCTTCCTACAACGACGTCAAAGACGAGGAGACCATCCGCCTCCCGCATGCCGCATGCTACATCCGCAACTGCAACTTTGTTCCCGCCCGACTCTCCCCCCTCCCCCCTCCCCCCGCCCCCTCCCTTGTAATAAACCCCATCAAGTATGTTTATAGCGCCCGCGCCCCTTCCGCCCTGCGCCGCGCCGTCGCCAAGCGGCTTCGCCGCCGGCGCCGCGCCTTAGGTAAGCCGCGCGAGCTGCGAGATCATTCTTAGGTAAGCCGGCGGCTGCAGCCGTCGCAAAAAAGGACGTTCCACGTTGCGCGGCGTGCGGCGCAGGCCGGCGGCCGAGGTGCGCGCCGCGTACGTGGCACGGCGGGCGCGCGCCGCCAAGGAGGCGGGCGGAGCGGGCGGTCTTGGTTAATGCTTGGCGCGCGCGCGGGCGCGGGCCGGCACGGTAAGGCGGCGGCGGGGGGCAGGCGAGGCCGGGATTCCCAAGCGGGCGTACGTGCGTAGGGAATCGCGCAAGCGGAATTGGCTTGCCTGCGCGTGCACGTGCGCGGGTGGGGCGCAGCGCGTGGAGCGGTGACAGTCGTGGCACGCCCCGCCGTGACAGGCGAGTGGCTGCCAGCGTCGCTGCGCAGCGCTAGTGCCGTACACAAGGACATGTCTGCGGGGACATGTCTGCGGACATGTCTGCCGTTTTTGGCATTTGCGCTTTTTCGTCCGGCCTGCTTGACAGTCGCCCTGCTTGACAGTCGCCGTTCCCCGCGCGCGGAAAATTTCCATTTAATGGAGAGAGCCTCGCGGCAAGCCCTGATTTTTAGGGAAAATTGCATTTTTACTGTAGAGGGAGATTTTATACTGTAGTCTGAGATTTTATTTAATCTCGGACTACAGTATAAAATCATTTATTTAAATGATTTTAAATAAATGATTGATTTAAATGGCCTGCCTGCTACCATAGGGATGGATATAGTATATCCTACATACTCCACCTGTCTTCTGGGCAGGGGGCACTCCCTTTTACGACAAGTTTGAAGGCCACTTTTCGATATGTACTCATGAAATAGTGTGGACGATAGTTGTGGACGATACAGTACTAATTTCGAATGCAGGTTGATTAGTGTGGAATTCCCAAACAATCTGCACCACTGATCCGTGTACAGTGTGTGAACAGGAGACCGATGACTCCTCCTTTACTCGTCGTCGCTCGTTGGTTATAAGTCTGTTCCCTGCGGGACAGACTGTCCTGTGCGGTCTGACATACAGTACTGTACTCTCAGTGGAGCAGGTTAAATTTGAAGCCCACTTTTCGATATCCACTCATGAAATAATCTGGCACCACCTTTTAATTTTGAAATATGAGAAGCGGAGGAGGAGGGCTGGTCATGTGACCAACAATTTATTCTGGACCATACTGTATTAATTTTGAATCCATACTATTTTGTGTGTCTAGCAGGTTAAATACAGTGGCGACCACCATAGAAGAGCACCCCGTGCCAACCCCTTCATACTGCTCTTAATCCGAGGTTGCTACTATTCAAGAATCCCGCACAGGATACCCATTTTACTCCTTAGACTCCGCAGTTGCCAGGACCCGTGCTGCGACCAATTCCAAAACGCTTCATCACAGAAGAGGCGCTCGCCCCATTTTGAAGACAACGCGCAGCCTCGGCTTTCTCTTTCTACAATACAACAACGGCATCGCAGCGCGTAGCAGCTGATAAACGCCCGCGGATCACGTCGCGTTTTAGCTTGTTCTCTGCCAACTTATCTTCTTGCGCTATAGCAATGCGGTGCCGAAAAGTGCCGCTGACAGGCACGTCTTTTTCCCTCCTACCAAACATTTCGATATACCAGACTTGCGTTTGTTGCGGGCAGGTACCTAGCTGGAGGTCAGTCCGCAAAAGGCGTGGCGGAATTTTTCAATCTCGCGTTTACCACGTACTTTACGTCCAGCGAGTTCGTGCGCAAATGGAAAAAAAAAACCAAAACAACGCCTTATTTTACGGACAACGATACTGTAATTGTTGGCAGATCCCCCTTTTTTGTGGCTGCTACAGTACTTGCGAAGGGCAAAATTGTGCGCATGCAAGTGACGCGATCACTTGCCATTTTTTGGCCCCAAACTTTACCTTTTCAATGACACAACATTCAGTCGGATCCTACACATCTACCCAAACGTCATACAAGGAACGTTGTAGGAGGTGTAGTTCAAAGTGAGACAAAAGCAGGCAGCATAACAAGAAGGATAACACCTCTTTCTCATCCACGTCCCAGCCTTGCCGCACGCTCCACTGCCTCTCTTGCCATTGTAATGTTCCGACTCATACTGTATCAATCGAGCACGCCGCCATCTCGCCAGCAGGGTCGATGCTATTCGAAAACCACACATGCGCATAATCTTCATAGATACCGATCCCCATCCCACCGAACGGGCCCCAGAACCCATTCTCCACCATGACGTCATTATGGGGCGGACTTCCCTGCCACTGACCCAGTGCCATCTCCGCCGATTGTCCCGCGCTATACGACGCGCTAATCTCGAAACCCGCCCCAACAAACGACGGGTTGAACTCTGCCGGCTTGTCCCACATGCCCGCGGCTTGGGCATGGTCGGACGTATAGCACACTGCGGTCCACGTCGAGCACGCCCCCGACCAGCTGTGCAGGTTCCCGCCGCAGTCCGTAGGCGAGTTTGCCTGTGAGTCGTATGCATGCGCTTGCGCCACCGTGCTCAGCGTCGCCGATACCGGTAAGCGCGCCTTGCCTACGCTCTCGCGGTAGTCGTTGATTAGACTGCCCAGCTGCACTTCCTCGCCTGTCAGACAGGTACCCACTTGCGATGGGAAGGATAGCTCACACGTCGGGCTTAGGCTCCCCGAGCTTTGGCGAGACACTTCGTTGAACGGGAATACAGGGGCAGTTGATATCTTGTTCACCGCTACTTGAGCTGCGTGCGAGCTGCATGCGAGCGCAGTCAGGCAAAGGAGAGTGACAAACGCCAGACACGCCATAATTGTTTTTTGAAGATGTGCAATGGGATAAGAGGGGTGAAGGATGGGAGGGGCGATGTAGAAAGAAAAGTTGCCGGGGATTGCAGGACTGCTTTTATATCGTCGATCGAGACTTGCACAGCAGCCATAGGAAGTGGACGTGGGGAGTAGAAATTGCTCTGGAGCACGACATCTAAACAAGACGTGTGGAAAGGACAAAAAGAGGCGGACCACGTCCGTCATGACCTGTCCTTGGGCCATGCGGCACATACGTGTCTATCAAAAAAGGGCTACCAGAATAAGATACAGCTTGAGGAAGAAGAGGAGCCGATCACAATTTTTATAGCGTTAGAGAGGCGCGGCGGAGAGACTTTTCGTGATACTGTGTCGTAAAACAGTACGATATGGTCTACTACTGTACGCTACAGTCTGCGTGTTGCCACTGAATTGATGAGTCTGCCTCCCATGTAAATGCTCTGTTGACGTACTGTACATATGTTAACGTGTGAGACCTGAGAGGAAACAGGGCACAAGTTATTTCTAGCGTGGCTGAACAGAGCACGAGCTGTGAGATAACACTGCTGTTTGCTCCTGTATTCAGTGTTGTTGTTTCTATGTATTTTGTAGGTGGCAAAAAAAATTTACCATTATGGACAGGCGCCATACGTGGAGCACAAGGCCTCGTTGACGAGAATGCTCACCTCCAGTTTGATAAAAAAAGCACCGTAGGCACTAAGGCCCATTCTTAAGGTCAGTTGTTAGGGCCGGTTCTTGATAAGCGCGATTAGCATGACAGCGCCCACTCTCAGCCGAAAAAGATTTGTGTTGTACAGTACGCGTCTCAGCTATCGGACGGTACGTGTTGTCGGTAGACGTGTAGCGTGCAGAGTGTTGAACCTTGCAGAAGCTGACCCAGATGCATTGCTCAGGCCCCCTGCCTGACATGAACATTCGTTCGCATTCGAACACTGTTCGATCGGCGCGGCCCGTGCGCTACCTAGTGTCTAGGTGACAAATGGCCTCATATGAGGTCACTTTTCAACTTAATTTTTCTCGACTTGTGCTAGCTGAACAAAATGGAAAAAGATACTCTCGCCACCGCAGTTGACTTCTGCGCTGTAGAAGGGTGGAGCTTGGTGAGATCTGCACGTCCTTTCCAGGCTTTTTGAGAATACCTAAAGAAGAAGCTTTTTTAAAGAACATCAAAACGTTTTTTGTTGATATCTTCGAAACCAAAACGCCTGTTTAAAATACCATCCGATCGTTGAAACTATATTAGATTCTCAGTATTTCTGTGTATTCATAACTGCTATCCCGATGTTTTGCAGGAAGCTATTACCGAGGGAATATTGGTTAAAGAAGTGGTGTCTAAACTGATTTTATAAAATTTCGATTTAATGTATACATTTTTGCAAAAAAAAAAACCCGGCCTCATATGAGGCCAAGCCTGACCTCATATGAGGCAAATTGCCGGTCGTCTAGACACTAGGACACTCTACAACAGCAGATACTGTACTACTGTCCTGTCATCATCCCTGGTTCTACTGTACTTCTCGTTTTCGTGCGCCTCCCTTGCTGCCTCTGCTCCATTCCTTACCCACTCGCGCACTGCCGTTCCCCTCCTCGTGCGCGGGCGCCCCTCATATCCATAGCACGCGGCGTGCTATCCCAACAAAGTCCAAACAGACAAGCGTCGAGCGATGCTTGTGCAACCAGTGGGTAAGCGTCACGAGAGCGCGGAGTGGAATGGGCACAGTACATTACAAATGCAAATGTATGGTACAGTACATGCTTTGTAGTGATGTTTATGCGGTACAGTAGTGAACAAGTCGTGACTCCACACAGGGAGAGGAGCACACGTTGAGGGTAAACGAAAGGACATTGCTCTATGTACAGTATTGATGAAGCCAAGGTCCTGCGGCGAGGAACAAGCAGTTTTGTGCGACGTCATGGAAATATGGGCAGCTTTCTGAAACAAATGCATTGCGCGATTCAATGCATCTACAGGAGCGGCATGCCAAGATAGAAGAACTATTTCCGTAGTTCATCTGAAATTTCGATATTCGTTTACGATGTACAATGATGTACACTAGATAGTGGAAGTTAATGCCAGAACCAAACGGGCCCGAGAGCTGTTCAAAACCGGTGCCCTGGCGCAGTACAGACAGCTGGAACTGTAATCCAGTTCATAATTATTTGGCTGGTTGTCGTGTAGTTCTCCGAATTTGGCCCAGCTTCAGGTCCTCTATTTCCTGCAGTACGCAGAGGGTTGAGTTATCTCAGGCGGTTCTTTCTCAAGTTCATGGGTACCCAGCAAGGCTAGCGCAATCTCCTTTTGCCGGATTTATGGTATACCTATGACTCGCAAATATCAATTACTGTAGTGAAGATGACAAATTTGGAAAATCCTGGAACCCTACAACTTGTTTGTGTGCGACCGCTGTGGAAAGGAATTCTTCCTTACAAAAACAGGTTCACGCACATGAATACTCCATAGAGTGGAGCTTATTCTAAATGGCTAACATCGCCCGGCCTGACAGGATTCCGAGGCATCCCGTTTTTGACTGTTGTTCTCATTTTCAATGAGGATGGCATCATTTCTGCCAGTAGTACTGCATTTGATAAGTAGAGGCAGGTGTTTGGGAAACAACTGAGTCATGAAGTGATGAAGTGATGTGGACGAACAACGGCTCATCATGGACTTTCCATTCTGCCCTTGAAAACCGACAACCAACAAGAAAGCCACCCTCCAACTGTAAGCATGCCTCTCAGCAACACTTGTTTAGTTGGTTAACTACGTACTGCATCAGCCAGAATACACATGTATCTCATCCTCTCATTCGAAAGGCGGGACAAGGCTGTTGCTCTACGTGCCAGAAACAAGGCAGATGAAGGCGCTCACCATGATTACCGCTCATATAAAAGCGCAATTCCTTCAGACTTTCAGTCCAAGGGCTCTTACGTATTCGCCCCGTTTTCCTTACCGAAACACGATTTACCCCTTCTCGTCTCAGACACGTGCTGCTGATGTGTTCCCAAAACCAGCCCCCGCTTCCTCAAAATAAAACAACATATACCACGGTACAGTCCTTTTTGGCAAAGAACACGTGAAAATATCGGACAAGGTCAACAATGACATCGCCTATCATCAAGTATTGACGATGGTCCAGACCCTCACACGCCCGCTCTCTTAACATTGCGACCGGAACCTTGCAATACTGACCACCAGAACTGTTAAAAATCTCAGATCGCCACTGAATACGGTACAATGTGTATAAATACACGGGAACCGCAGACGCGTCCATATACATATTGTGTATATGGACTCGTCTGCGGTCCCCTGAACTCATTCTCAAACTCAATTGCGTGTCACAACGAAACCGATAAGGTCCAATCTGTGTTGTATAATCGGACGAGAGGGCTTTATTCTGCCCCCTCTGTTAATGTGGCGCGATATTGTGGTATGATAGATCGGGTGTGGTTTGCGGAGCAGCAACGCTGCAGATCGGACATGAGTTTAAAGTGGCAGTACTGTTGACTGTAGGTTCTCAGGTGTTTTGTTGTCGTTGTCTACACACACAGCCGAAAATAGGCGCATGGTTGTTGTATTCGTATTGAATGCTGCTCCGAGCAGCGTAGCGTGGTGCCGCCGGAGAAGAGGTTAAGCGGCTGCCTCCGAAGCCCGTTCTGCACGGCAGCAACGTACCAAGGTGGCATTGTCTCCCGTGCAACTAGTCTCGGATGGCATCTTCCACTCCATACAGCGGTTCAAACGAAGACAACTTATATGGTACCTGTCAATATGCCGCAGGGTCAAAAGTTGTGGCATGTATGAAAGTGAAAGTCACCACAGTTGCTCGTTTTCACGAGCTATATTTGTAAGGGACCACAACCCCCGTCATCGGCACCCGTGTTCACGCCGACCCACTCTTGAAATAAAACCTGTTGTCTTTACTTGTGTACCTTTTTGTAAACGTTTGGGTGCTCCCAGCCCATTGTACTTAAGTACTGGGCTAGGAGCTGTTTCATGTCCTGACTGACAAGGGAATAAATGCTAACAACTCTCCGGGACTGCTCCCGGGTCTGCGCTAAGTGACAGAGCGCACAAGTGTACTGCGTACCACCGTGGACGAAGTGACACTCGGAGCGCTCCAGCACGACAGTGCGACACAGCACGGGGGCTGTGCCTCCAGCACAACCATGTGCCCAGCGAAGTAGTATAAGTAGAGACAGAAGAACAGGCATGAGTAAAAGGGTCATAGGCTTCCTAGTTTCTACACTACACTAAGAATGCTCTACAAAATCTTGGTCAGACACTCTATCACCTATCATCCATGATGTAATTGACCCTATCGTAAGTGTAGTATAACCCACCCCCAGGGGCTTTATTTTAGATTAGGTCAACTCAGAATCGGATCGAATACTGTCTGGCTCGATGCTCTACAGTACCACCACGTGTACAGGATCGCGCACGTGTACAAGTGTACAAGCGGGACCGAAGAGCGCGCACACACGTGTACTGTCAGCCCCGATGGCTGACAGTATTACAGTGTCGACCGACCGCTACAGTACGTCGCTACAGTACATCGGTACTGTACTATTATGATAGGTTACTATGTACATTAAATAAATGTGGAGCGGACCGGCGGCGGGGGAGGAGGACAAACACGAACTTGTCACCCACCGACCGTCAAGGTCCGTCTTCCAGCATACCTGACACGCACCATCCGCCTTCGCACGCGTTAACCGGGGCAACGCGGGTAGGGGACACACGCCTACGCGAGCGAGCCTAGATCCGCCTCCGCCCGTCAGCGCTGGTACGTTACCCAGCGCTGCTCAGGAGCGTCAAGGCGTGGATCAACCGCGCGTACGCTCGTTCCCGACCCTCCCGCTCTACCACGCTACCAGGGCCCCCTTCCATATCTCAATAGCTGTGTGTTCTCTCTGTGTTCTCCCCTTCCGAAGGGTCTACGTCGATCTAAACCATACACCCCTCTACGTCAGAGGGTGTTTATGCTACAGTGGTCTCCCGAACTCGAAAACCCTGGAGTCCGATCTCCGAGAAGACTTCCGCTTCTCTCCGCGAACCGATCGCGTCGAGATGAGCGAAGAACTCGAGCCCTCGATCCGCTCCGAAGCGGCGGTCTGAATCTGACCGCTGTGCAGTCCCCATCCGCCCCGTCCGGCGACGGTGACGCAGGTCCTCGTTACTGCGAACCGTCGCTCGGATCCTCCGAGGAAAGAGCGGCGGCGATGTTCGAACGCATAGCTCAACGCCATTGGTCGGCGTGCTCGTGACATGGAACGTATCATGACCAAAACGGCCACCCGGGGCCCCCTCGAGAGGGCCTGGTGGAACCGTACCTCCGAGCACCGACGCCCCCGAAGGTTGGCGTCCCACTGGTGCCGCTACCAGTGGAACTGCAGAAGGAAGCCGTCGTCTGATAGATGCGAACTTCGTGTCTGAGACCCAAGCTTTGCCCGGGGCGGCTACCCGCCGGCGAGTTACGCCGAGCATCCAGGTCCGGTAGTCGTCCGTACGCTACCGGTTACCTCCTTCGGCACGCTGGGTCCCCGGCTCGAGCCGGTACATACGATGATCCAAGAGTTCAGCGCCGTTGCCGACTATCGTATGTACTGCTTGGATAACACCTCGAGGCTCGTTACCTTGGGTGACGTGGGCCGGATCGCGAAGTACGTCCAACGCTGTCGTGAGATATGTCCCACGATGCGTAGCTTCCACGGTACCGACCCGATCGTTTCTCACATACCTGAATGCTGTCACTCCTTTTTCGACGTGACCCGTCACGAAAGTGTCCGACTTTTTCCGTTACTTCAGGAGTTGTTTTGTCAGCTTACATACTGAACTTTCCCCTTCTCTCAGAGCCTCTATTTCATTATTTATCATACCAGGCGCGTGGAACAACGTTTTTTATAAGGTACGGGGCTCTGCTAATGAGCACGAGTTATCATATCGATGCGGCATGTACACGTGTATGTACCTCGGCGACGTGTAGGTACCTCGACGACGTGTACACGTTTGTGTTTTGCTGGTACTCTGTAGCCACTTCTACGAACAGATACATTCCGGTTCCAAACCCCAGTATGGTGATACAGCGCTTCTGTGACAAAGAAGAACTGATGTTGCAGACGGGTGTGATGGAGGGGTTTTGGGCCGTGACAAAAGCCAAAAAGGGAGTTTTTGATGCATATATCGGGGG